CACACCGAATTGAGACAGTACGGATCATCGTCGAACAATCACCTGAGTGGAACTCTGCAATGTACATCAACTTCATTGATTATGAAAAGGCATTTGGCAGTGTAGATAGGAGAACGTTATGGAAACTTCTTCGACACTACGGAGTTCCTGAGAAGATTGTCAACATTATCCGAAACTCATACGACGGACTACAGTGCAAGGTCGTGCATGGAGGACAGCTGACAGATACATTCCAAGTAAGGACCGGAGTCAGACAAGGCTGTTTACTCTCTCCCTTCCTATTTCTTCTGGTGGTCGACTGGATTATGAAGACCTCGACATCTGAAGGAAAACACGGCATACAATGGACAGCTCAGAACCAATTAGACGATCTGGACTTCGCAGATGACCTAGCCCTCCTATCACGTACACACGAACAGATGCAGATGAAGACAGCCAGTGTAGCAGCAGTCTCTGCATCAGTAGGCCTCAGCATACACATGGGGAAAACCAATGTCCTCAAATACAACATGGAGAACAGCAATCCAATCACTCCTGATGGCGAAACTCTGGAAGATGTAGAATCCTTCACATGCCTGAGAAGCATCATCGATGAACGAGGAGGTTAAGATGCAGACGCAATGGCGAGGATTGGCAAAGCAAGGACAGCATTTCTACAGTTGAAGAACACATGAAACTCAAAACAACTTTCAACCAAAACAAAGTGAGAATCTTCAATACGAACGTCAAGGCACTTCTACTGTACAGAGCTGAAACTCGGAGAACTACAACAACCATAATCAAGAATGTACAAGTATTTGTAAATCTTTTTCTACGCAAGGTACTCGACACCCATTGGCCGGACATCATCAGCAACAGCCTTCTGTGGGAGAGAAAAAACCAGCTTACAGCCGAAGAGGAAATTAGGGAAAGACGATGAAAATGGATAGGACAAACATTACGCAAATCATCAACGTGCATCAACAGGTAAGCCTTAACTTGATATCCTGAAGGAAAACGGAAAAGAGGAAGTTCAAAGAGCACATTACATTGAAAAATAGAATCAGATATGAAAAGGATGAATAACAACTGGAAAGAGCTGGAAAGGATGTCCCAGGACAGTGCTGGATGGCGAATGCTGGTGAGCGGCTTATGCTTCTTCACGAGGAGTAACAGGCGTAATTAAGTAAGTAAGCGAATCTTTCTGCATAGACATTCGACTGAGAATGGTACGAAGGAGATTGTGGAGGCAATATGCCATTTTCACTGCAAAGCCGGGTACAAGCAGATGACATAAACTGAGTGCTGTTGTCAGTCACCATTATCTCTAGAACCCCAAAACTATCAAACAATCCTGACAATTTTTTTGTCGTAATCTCTGATGTCGTTTTACGCATGTCATATACTTCTATCCATGTTGTGAAAGGATCGACAACAATCAAGTAACTTCAGCCTTGTATTGGTCCAGTGAAATCAGAGCATATTGTTTGCCAAGACTCATCCGGTTTTGACTATGTTTGTGGATCAGCTTTTGTTGGATTCTTTGCATCCTCCAGACGAGAGTGACAACTGCGACATTTTTGTTCTATATCATGCTGCATTGACGACCAGTATGCAGAGCTCCGAAGAAAAACACCATAATGACTAACCATTCCGAAGAGAGAACGTAAAGTTGATACGTCAGTCGGTGCTGGAATGGAATTGGTAGCCTCGACGTTTTCAGGATCAGGTTTCCTTCCGTTTTTATTACTTATGGATCTCAAACAGCGGACTTGCTCTATGTAGAACAAACGTTTTTCAGCACGTAATCGGAACCCATTTGTCTGCTATGCATCTGAGAACCGTATTCACCTTATTCTCTAAGTCAGTATAGTCTGTACCCATGATTCTTATGTCATTGAGATAGGCTGTGGTACCAGGCATATCTTGTAGCACAGTATTCATAACTTGTTGGAAGATTGAAGGGGTGGTATTTGCTCCAAACGGAAGTCTGTTATATCGGAGCAACCCTTTATGAGCGTTTATTGCCAATAATTCTTCCACTCTTCCACTAATGGAATCTGAAAATAAGCTTCTTATAGGTCCAGCTTTGCAGACTTCGGATGTGGCCTTTTCGAATAATGAAAGATTTTTGCAATATTTCAATCCTAAATCGCAGATCCTAAACAGATGTTGAAATTCCAACTTGTTGAGATACGATTTTATCTTTGGACTGAACGTTCTCAAACACATTTATCCAGACTTTTCGTTATGAAGAGGGAGAATTCATGCATCACATCAGTTTCGATGTTTATCCAGATAATATCGTATAATACAGCTGAGGTTTAAACTGGGACGTGTGTCGGATGCATGCACTACGTCAATGTCGTCAACTGGTCGATAGCATTCGATCTGCACTAATAAGGACTAGACAAGCATGAGATTGATCACCACCCAGTGATCAATCAATTGTGATTACATCTCAGTCCTACAGGAGGTTAGTCACGGCTCGGATAGCTCAGTGGTAACGTCTCTGACTGTGAAGCTGGGTGACACGAGATCGAATCCGCCAGGGAGCACCAGTTCCCTCAAGATTACAGGTACACCTTGCTGACGAGTGCCAAGTAGCACGAAACCCGGGTCCAGGGTTTCCTGTTGACTACCTCCAACCACCATCTAATCTCATTACATAGTGCCCGCAGTGTCGAGTCACCTAGACTGGTGGCCACATTGCAACATGATCGATAGCATTCGATCTGCACTAATAAGGACTAGACAAGCATGAGATTGATCACCACCCAGTGATCAATCAATTGTGAATATTTTAAAGGCTGGACATGAATGTCAGAAATCCCTAAATGTAATGAAACTAGCCGGTATTCCATCATAACCACAAACGAGAGAAGGTTTTAATGAGCTTATTGAACCTCTCAAAATACTCGGAGTGCACTACAAGTCTGCTAATGTACACGAATGAAAACTGCTTGCTCTGCGTTTATTCTGATTACATCTATTGAATGCCTGAGCAAATGGTTTGCTCAGCATGTCACACAGCTTTGCTGAATCTCTTATATGTACATCAATAACTCTTAGGACAGTAGGAATATTAGAGTTCCTTTAGAGTACAGGGATAATCAAATTAGATAAATCGCAAATCGATCTACCGATTGAAATATTGGTTTGTTCGATGTTCATGCAATTGAGATTCACGGATGATTCTTTATAATAGGTCAATGATCTTTGGTTGCTCCACAGCAAATATCCTATAGCAACTCACGTGTAATTGAGTTTGTTCACATTTAAGTCGTTTAAGTATTTTGTTTATTTAACGGACCGAGTCATCCATACACCAACAACTTATCTATAGCATTGTATTTTTATAATTGTTGCGAATGTATGAACATGTTTGCTTGAGCATTGCTTACTAAGTACGCATATATTCATCCTGCTAGCCTCGCTATTAGTTGCATAATTGATTCTATGATTCATTCAGTTTCCTATATATATATATATATATATTTACATTTATTCCTATACACATATAGACTCTTAGTCGTCCATATCACGTTTACAGTTCTAGTGGGATATCCCCACAGCAAGTGCATCCTAAACGCCTACCGAGTCCTAATCTCATATTGCGCTTTTTTATTCCTATTTGGCTTCGTTCATATAAATAACTCTCTGTACTATCCACCAATACCCAACGTATCGTCGAACTTGGCACAAATCCCTGTAGCACTGCCGTTGTGATTTATTGAGTTGAGACGCGATATCTGCTCTGTGATCTAGAAGTTTAGTGGCCCAACTTGGTTCGGTCCATGAGTTCAACAAACGTTTTGACCACAAATACGAGCAATGTTGAGTCGTACATCAATAAATTCTAAGAAAAGTGAGCGGATGTTTCAAGCGAAGATGAATACTGAAAACATTAGCACTTGTTTGACCATAACGACTTTCCACTTATTGTGTTTCATACGTTAAACTTCAAGGTAATTTTTAATGATTAACCACGGATATCTCAGTGCAGATTTATTCATGTGGTAGATGCGGACTGAAGAATGTAGTTATCATTATTAGTTATAAATTAGAATGCAGAGAAGCAAATTACAGACATGTCACATGCAGCCTGTTTTACTTTCTATATTCCAACATGATAATGAAATCAGAATGACCTGTCATCATTCCATCAACCAACAATTTGCTTGGCGGTTCCAAGATTCGAACCAGTAGAAATGTAAGTTCTGACATCTGAACCGTGGGCAGATAAACAATTCTTCATGTCTTCAATCCAGTAGCTTAAGTTGCACCGTGAATGGTTTTAGTCATGATGCGCTTTGTTTCAATTTTTAAATATTTCGTCAAACTATGATCTGACTTCACACTTACACCTCTGCTGCCACTGAGGTTTTGAAGTTTTACTGGAACGCTCAACAATGAGTTCATTTCATTATCTGATGTGATCTGTTTAGTGCAATAAATTTCACAATATGCCGGAGAACCATGTCTTTAATGCTTCTGTCAGGTCTATGCTCCACGAAACTCCACTAACCTTACGTATGAACGGAGAAGTGTAGCAGTCACAGCTTAACAACGAATTGAAAACGCTGACATTTTCCGTCAGCGAGTTGATAGCATCAGTGAAATTCATTTGTCCAATAGACGGAAAGTTAACTCGTAATTAGTGCTATCTATATTCAGCTGACTGACCCAAGTGCTTCAATCTACAACATAAGTTCCAATTTCCATTACCAACAAGTACTGGGTTCGAATAGGTGATGTTCTCTAAATACTACTTTCTGCTAAAGACATTCAAACGTAGTTCAATAACCTCCTTCTCGTCGTACCTTTATCCATCTTTACTACATCCAGTTATTTGACTGTTATAAAATAACTGGTTTAATGAGTACGAAAAAAATAATGAAGAAATTCAAAAGGTATAGTTTATATTGATTATATGTTTCACCAATATTACCATGGCGGTCAACAACAAATAAGAATTCAAAGCTTGATAATAATAATAATAATTTGTGTTTTCTTCAATTTTACATAATTCCTGGATGCATTCTAGCGACTTCTTCAATCGATCCAAATTTCTTTATCAAATCCCTTAGCTTCATCATGTCCGACAGTTGATTCATCTTAGGGTATGGTATGTTAGCTGGTATATCCACATTCAAGAATCTACACAATGGTTCCCAACCATCTCCAAGTCTATGTATCAGAAGACGTGTAGGTGGTATATTTTCTTGAAGAGTTTCAATATGTTTTTCGTAACATTCAAGTAACATTGCATCATCATCAAAATCAATATCTTCCTTCTGAAATGCTAGTTTTAGTGAATCAGTAAGAAGCTTATCCCATTCAAGTGGGACTCCTGCAAGTCTTTTCGCTTCCTCAAATTGCTTTTTACTCGGGTCATCTGATTTTGGCATTATAACTTGCCTGAAGCTGTTCAACCAATCGTACTTATCGCGTACTGTTAGCACAACCTATAATAAACGAAATATGTGGCATGTGAAAGTGTCGTTGTTATGGAAATAATACATTTCAAAAGTCATTCAAAGATGTATACCGGAACAGTATTTTGGTCAGTTTTAAAAATCACGTTTGTTTTAGCTATTGAGTAACCATTCGTGTTAACTTCACTCTCGAACTTCAGTGTTATAACTCGTTAAATATTAACTCGCAGCACACGAGTAAAAATATCTATCACAGTTTCACAGAGTTGAGATATTCGCGAATTTCGCAATGTTTAGCTTAAAAATAGAGTAGCGTCAGTGCGGTGTCAGTGAGCCCTAGAAATATCACTCACGGGGCTGAATATTTTCGGTACCGATTATCGTCCAAGTCATACACAATGAATTGACGTGTGCGATTGTGCATCTTCCACTCAGTTCTTATGTCTTTTCCTATAACACACTGCTTAAGCAATATTCAGCTTGTTCTATACAGTCATCAAAGTAACCTCAGCACCTCGATATCACAGTAAGCTAAATAAGGTCAGGTATCAACCTGAGGTGGAAATCTGGCGTCATATAAGTCACACCATTCCTGCATGACCCCAGATACCTCAACATTGACATAGATCACCGACATTGGTGGGTGAAGAGGCTGTTGAGTAGTGAGGAGAATGACATTTGTCAATTCAGGAAGTTCAAAAGTCCCCTAACTAGTAATTTCATTAACAAGTTACATCTTAGTTGACTTAGTTTACGCATCTTCGTTTGCCAAATGACGAAGTAATTGAATTTCCGTGTAGTTTGAAGTAAAATACTGTGTGAATAAGTAGGTGGCTACGGTATAGAAAAAACATCAGATGACTGATACCTGTTCTCAAACGTTGTGGTATATATCCATGTAACAAATAGGAGTTTCAGAAATATCAATAATTTGAAGTTATGAAATCCAGAGATTATAAGCATCCGCATGATATAAAACAGATATCTTACCTTCGCATATGGATGTATATTCATCAGCTCTCTGTAGAATGCACATGATGGAACATCAGTCACAGCTACATAACAATCCAATATCTCACTCAAATATCTGTGTATTTTATTCTCACAATGTGTCGTTCGTACCTCGTCGACAAGCATTTGCCATTTGGTAATGTCACATGGTCTGCCGGTCATAATTTCAAAACCATGATAACAAGGTTGAGAGAAAATTGTTTCCAATGCTTTTTTCATACTCATCGTTCCAGTTCTCGGTAGACCAGCTCCAATAACTAATAATGATGTTGGAGTTTCACACATAATTTCAACTGTGAAACGAGATAGAATTTAAAAACAAATAGACAAGGATCAGTGCATCATCATGTTAGATTTCAGTTCGAACATCAATCTCATTTTACCGATTAGTGAAACTTATTTCAAACTATCTTTGTAAACAAAGAAAAATTCCACACAAATCAAATGGTTATATACGTTCAACCATGATCACTGTTGATCAATATGATCTGTAATTCATGGCAAACATTTCATGACACTTATTCATGAGAGTGGAGAATAAAAATGACGAGAAAACATAACAAAATAAGAACGTTCATTATTTCTAGGATATTTATCAGCATATTACATTGCAAATAAATATCTGACTACACAATCGGTTGTTGAGAAACTTATATATATGAAGAAGAATAATGGTCAAACTAGACTAATTTGTATTTAAATAGAGGGCGTTACTGACGAAAATGAATGAAAGAAGTGTTAATAATAAATCACGGTAACTTCAAAGTGAGAAAAAGCTATTTTTGAACACAATGAGCTATTTTGAGTCTTTTGATATCCAAAACGTAAACATAACAATGGATTTGACCCAGACAGCCACAACGTAATTACGCGCTCGGATGACAATACAAAAGGATGACCAAAGTTTATCGAAATGTGTCAATGAGAAATCGGTACTACTACTACTACTACTACTACTACTACTACTACTACTACTACTGCTACTACTACTACTGAACAAAAGACGAACGAATCTCTTCTTAATGATAATGATAAAAATTTATTTCAAATTTACTGTGATAATTACGTATCAAATTGATCATCTTTCAAACTTTCTGTATTTGTGATAGAAGCTCTACCTTTCGGATTTGATTTCTCCGTCGTACATGACACGATTTCTGATTTATCGATAGATGATCAATTCGGAAGTCTCTATGATCGGTTGCTCCTTGTTGTCTCAATCACCCTAGATAAGCGAAATCGGTTTAAGATGAAGTTAATGGTTATTGCACACCACTTCCACGATTCTCGAATACCGGGACATTTTGACTTATAAATATTTCACCGCTGTTCTCCCAAATGCACAGTGGTAGTCTATTAATCCATTACGACCGATATTATCTATGCGTGCTTCTCATGCACATAAACTAGCTGAATGCTTAGTAAAATCGTTAAACCCGATTCGTAATAAACTATGAAGTTTTCCTTAAAAGATGCATTTCTATTAACTGGTATTATTGGAGACATTAATATCAAAGATAAGACTTTGCCTTTCTTTGATGTCAACTCTCCTTCTATGAATGTGTCGTTAACTTAGACTGTAGTGACTCACGTTTATCACGAGAACACGACTGGTTTAATAAAAACAATTATTATTATAACCAACTGTACCAGTGTTTATTTTAATGTGCTTTTGTTTGACTGTGCTAATGACAGCGATTTCGTGCTTCCATTCTTTTACTTACACTTCGATTGTAACTTCGCGCGAATTCGGTTACGTTCTGTAACCAAGCTTGTATCCTGGTACGATCTCGGTATCCTTTCGATGCCACGAGATCGCCAGCTAATAAACCTCGACTTGGTCCATTAATTGCCTTCTGATATTTGGCTTCTCGGGGATTTTATGGAGTCATTTGGAACGAGCTTCTAACGCTTTCTGATCTACTTGGCACGTGTTTCTTGGTAGCGGTGTTCATAGTTAACATCAACTCGACGCCACGCTACAAGTCTGTGGACCACCTTGCTGATTATATATCTGTAACAGCTAAGGTACTTCCTCAAATATTCTTGTTTCATTTTCTCACACTTTTATCTCACAAGCAAGTTGCAAACCATCAGCGATAGTTGTAGAAGAAATTGCATGCTACAAAATCAGATGACAAGCTAATTAATGAACAGACATGCATGGACTGTCGTCGATTGCTGACAGAGTTAGTGGTCATTGATTGTAATTCTCCCTTGGGCTGCGGAAACAGAACTGAGGTGTTTTTGATTGGTAGGTTAATCGAGCCGTTGTTCCTATGGAGGTCAATTTTAGGGGGAAGCTCATGTAACAGCTTGGGTTGATTGGTTAAGAGTTGACCTCAAACAACTAAGTATATACCGAAAAAATAGAGTTCAAACATACATTCACTCCCTTATTTTCTATAGACATCATATTTCCAATTATCTGATATTGAATGTTGAGAAGCTTCGTTTGTCTGAACGGAGAATCTCCTATTCGGTCACCATTGTCGAAATAATTACTTTCGTTATGTACTGGAAATATTCAGTTCATGTTTTAAGGTGGATATTTTTGACAAATTGCTCTGGGTAGCACTTTGAGGCATCTCTGACCTGATGTATATACGTCATAGGTTGAAAGTATGACGAGTACGCTCATAAGCGAAGCAACTTTGTATAGAATATGCATGGATGATATACAACTTATCTGTGATAGAGATGTTGAGGTTTCCCAGTTATTAGATAAAATCAACAGGGTACAAAACAATATCGTCATAACTTACAAAGCAGGAAATAATGATTAACTGTTTTTGGAGACATACTTTAGAGCTTGAGAAAGAATGGTAATATAAGACAGTCAGTTTACTGGAAACTAATTTGGATGGCCCAATACTTAAATTTCCACAGTTTCTGCCCATTGTAATACAAGTAATGCTTGATTGCGTGTCTCTTTATCAGGATTCAAATAATTTGCACTAAAGATACGGTTGAACAGGATGAAAAGTTGTTGACTAGCGCATTAATATCAAATGATTATCCACTAAAGTTTGTTAATATGTGCAAAAGTCGATAAACGCCATTACCTCTTGTTTATTCGGTTGCAAGGAAAACGTTTATAACTATCTACCATGTACAGGTAAATTCAACAGTACAGTTTTAAGACAGTGATTAAAAGCAGCCATCGAGTAGATCTATTATGCCACTCAATTAGTTGTGATTGGAAAGTCTGAGACCATGATTCCGAATAGACCTAGATTATTCATAAATGATTGCGCCACATCAAATTGTATTTGCCAATGTACATGCTTGTGTGGACACATATACATGGAGTGGAGTAATCGAACAATGCAATCAGGGGTCATTGAACATGTGCCCAGATGGCTTCAGAGCTAATCAGTGTCAAATGTTCCGACCGACGTGGGAGTTGGAAAGTCATGTTCTTCGATAGCGAAACACATAATTCAAACGGCGCACAAAATGGACATTATTAGGGCTTTAGAAACGTTGTCAAGTACAGATTCGTCAATTTAAATCTCTCTTATGTCCTAATGCCATTTGTCGTGACATATATTTTTACACAATGGTCACCAAGTTGATTTATTCTGAAACTGATTTACGTTAATCTTTGAAGTGTTTGTGGATCACATCAGGTTATTTCTAATTATTCTTATAAATAAGTGTTGTCTTAACCTTGTAAGTGTCGATGCATGCAAAATTTACGATTTTTAGTGACTAAGATAATTTCTGGAATTCGTTTATTGTTTTTATCATCAATACATTGAAATGGCCTTGTTCTGTCTTGCGATCTTCCTTCAAACTTTTAAGCATCATTGTCGCATAATTAAGTAAATTCTGATGATGATCGGACTGAGCACTGTACCGTTTGCCTAGACGTCTTATTTTACTAGTCATGTTCATGATTTACTACAAGCTGCATGGACATTGATAACCTGGGGTCATAGGAGGGCATATTCGTCCATGTATGGTCCTCTTCTGCACTGTGCACACACAATCCAGCGAGTGGGGCTCAAACCTCGTGTGTCCGGTCTTGAATGCGAACACTTACTCTCCGGACTAACGAGTAAGCATGCCAATGTCCAAATTAAAGCAATGAATCCACGCACAACCGTGAATAAGCACAGCTCAGAAAGTTGAGTGAAAGTTATTTTCAATGACCTTTACACATTCAAAATTCCGGTTCTTGGTAGACCAGCTCCAATAACTAATAATGATGTTGGAGTTTCACACATAATTTCAACTGTGAAGCGAGATAGAATTTAAAAACAAATAGACAAGGATCAGTGCATCATCATGTTAGATTTCAGTTCGAACATCAATCTCATTTTACCGATTAGTGAAACTTATTTCAAACTATCTTTGTAAACAAAGAAAAATTCCACACAAATCAAATGGTTATATACGTTCAACCATGATCACTGTTGATCAATATGATCTGTAATTCATGACACTTATTCATGAGAGTGGAGAATAAAAATGACGAGAAAACATAACAAAATAAGAACGTTCATTATTTCTAGGATATTTATCAGCATATTACATTGCAAATAAATATCTGATTACGCAATCGCTTGTTGAGAAACTTATATATATGAAGAAGAATAATGGTCAAACTAGACTAATTTGTATTTAAATAGAGGGCGTTACTGACGAAAATGAATGAAAGAAGTGTTAATAATAAATCACGGTAACTTCAAAGTGAGAAAAAGCTATTTTTGAACACAATGAGCTATTTTGAGTCTTTTGATATCCAAAACGTAAACATAACAATGGATTTGACCCAGACAGCCACAACGTAATTACGCGCTCGGATGACAATACAAAAGGATGACCAAAGTTTATCGAAATGTGTCAATGAGAAATCGGTACTACTACTACTACTACTACTACTACTACTACTACTACTACTACTGCTACTACTACTACTGAACAAAAGACGAACGAATCTCTTCTTAATGATAATGATAAAAATTTATTTCAAATTTACTGTGATAATTACGTATCAAATTGATCATCTTTCAAACTTTCTGTATTTGTGATAGAAGCTCTACCTTTCGGATTTGATTTCTCCGTCGTACATGACACGATTTCTGATTTATCGATAGATGATCAATTCGGAAGTCTCTATGATCGGTTGCTCCTTGTTGTCTCAATCACCCTAGATAAGCGAAATCGGTTTAAGATGAAGTTAATGGTTATTGCACACCACTTCCACGATTCTCGAATACCGGGACATTTTGACTTATAAATATTTCACCGCTGTTCTCCCAAATGCACAGTGGTAG